AGGTCAGACGGTGTAAATAGATATGTTCGCTGTTATACCAGGTGCATGCCATTTAAGTATCACCGGCTTCAAAGCAGGTTTGACAGGAGCAAGATTGTCATTCGCTTCTCGGACCATTACTGCATTTATTTCTAGTTGATCGGGAATTTGCAAGCATGATATCATAGCAATCTGTACTTTGGGTTAACCTGTTGTGGCTTGTGGTCTAGCACCACCTTGCAACCCTCTAGTTAACAGCCCGTAACAACCCGAAAATGAAGTGAAGAGGCGACAGAGACCGCGACCGTTTATTAGCGTCACGCCAGCCAAGTGTGTCTTAATGTGTGAATGAGTGAACGGATGACAGGCATTTAATAACAGTAACCAATGGAAAGGAGATGAGTCAGTCACCGTCAGGTCAGGAAACAGGGTTCACTCATGCACGATCGCTGTTAATCTGCTGCACATATTCCCCCCCTGAGTGTGAGCTGTGAAACGGTGAACGCTCGAAAACTAGCGAACGGTATCAGCAAAGCGGACAACGGGTCTCAGATGTCAGCCAAAACGGGAAGTTGGGTTGGGTGGGGATACTGGACATTGTAAACTTCGTCGTTGCTTTAGCATATGGAAGGAACATGGTTGGCTTCCGTATAACCAGCTTTGAGATGATCTTTTCTTACAGTATCCAACATACCATTTTTGTCAACTGCGAAAAATTTGTCGGTGCGTTCTACCACTTTAAAGGGGGCATCATAGGGTGGTTGCAAGGGTTTTTTACACCATCAACGCGGACAAACACGTAAGGAGAAGAAAGCAAACTGGGCTGGATCCGTGCTTGTCGTGAGGACATTCTTGTCGGGGTTGGTCGAATTTCCTTCATGCAGTACTTTAATTGATCGAAATACGATGAAGATGGGAACTCAATAGTGTGGTCAGAGTTGGTGACCATTTCACCAGCCAGACGCAAAGTTGTACCGAATACAAGTTATGCTGGCGTGGAGTCAGTATCTTTCTTTATCGTATTTCGAATGGCTAATAAAATCAGGGTTAATGTGTCTGATCAGTGATTCGAGGCAGCTTTTGCAATAATGGCTGATTGCAATCGACGATGGAAAAGCTCAACCAAACCATTAGGTGCTGGATGATATGCTGTAGTTCGAAAATGCTTGCATCCAAGAAGGCGATTTATGTCCTGAAACAAGCAAGACGTAAAATGTGCACCGCCATATGATGTAAAAGAACTGGGAACATCGAATGAGGAAACCCGTGATAGCATAAATGCGCGGGCAACAGATTCGGCGACACCGTCTTTAATAGGTACTGCCATAGGCCATTTGTAAAGCGGTCCACACAAGTTAGGACATAGGTAAATCCACGAGACGGCGGAAGAGATTCAACTAGGTCTATGTGTACATGTCGGAAGAGCGCGTCCGGAAGGGAAAAATTTCCGGGTTGTGAAATATTACGACGGTGGACTTTGCTGCGTTGACATTGAATACAGAGTTTAGCCCATAAGCAAATATCTTTACGAATGCTAGGCCAAACAAAACGGTCTATTATCAAGCCCACGGTGGCGCGATCACCAGGGTGTGAAAGAGAATGAAGGGATTCAAATATTTGCTTTCTAAATGAGGCAGGAACAAAGGGTCGAGGTCTGCCAAGTGATGTATCACAAGTAATTTTTGTAGAATATTGGGGAAGTGACAGCTCTTTCAGCTTTAGACTAGAATTTCGACGAAACTGTTGTGATTCAGGGTCATCCATCTGCGCTGCAGTCAACTGTTCAAGGTCTATACCGGGAACTGACAGGTTACGAATATGTGCTCAGGAAAACGCATTGGCCACGACGTTATCAGTCCCACCAACGTGGCGAATATTGGTTGTGAACTGTGAAACATAGTCAAGGTATCTGGATTCTGTGGGGAATATAGATCAGAGGCTGCATGAAAGGCATAAATCAGTGGCTTACGATCAGTAAAAATTGTGAACTTACGTCCTTCCAGTAGGCGACGAAAGTGCTTCACAGCAAGAAAAATCGCCAATAGTTCTCTGGAAAAAGTACTATAACGGGTCTGAGCTGGTTGCAGCTTCCAAGAAAAGAATGATAACGGCTCAGTACGACCGTCCAGCCCTTGCTGAAGGACTGCGCCAACTGCAGTTTGGGAAGCATCCGTTCGTAAGAAAGTTTCGCTTCCTTCTTCCAGTAGCGCAAGTTTGTAACATCTGCTATCGCATCCTTTATAGCCTGAAAAGCAACTTCAGCCTCCTAAGTAAGCGTTAGATTCTTAGGATGACCTTGAGGCAAGTCAGCCAGAGGAGACAAAATTTTAGCGGCGTGTGGGATGAATCGCACATTGTAATTGACCGAACTAAGAAAACGGCATAAACTAAGGGGGGGATTTTGATATTGGATACTCCCGAATCGCTATTGTTTTCTCAGCTTGGGGCTTAATACCATCTGAGTCAATTTGCTGTCCGAGGAATTCAACAGTGTCCACTCCAAAAACACATTTCTGAGGGTTAATAGTGATATCGAAAGCTTTAAGAAGGGTAGAAACCTGCCGTAGGTGCAGCAAATGTTCATCACTGTCTTTGCTGGCGATGAGAATGACATCAATGTAGACAAAGACGAAGACGAGATTACGGAGAACTTGATTCATGAATCTCTGAAAGGTCTGTGTTGCGTTGCGTAGACTGAAAGGCATTCGTAGGAACTCAAATAGGCCAAATGGAGTAATAACGGCAGTTTTCGGGACGTCTTCGGGGGCCACAGGAATCTGATGATAGGCCAGGACAAGACCAATTCTTGAAAAGACTTGGGCACCATTTAGACCCAATGAAAAGTCGTGGATATTAGGGATGGGGTACCGGTGAGGAACTGTGTCATTATTTAGGGCTCTGTAATCACCGCAGGGTCTCCTGTCTCCAGATTTCTTGGGTAACATGTGTAAAGGAACCGCCCATGGGCTGTTAGAAGAGCGAATTATGCCAAGATGGCACATATGTTCAAACTCTGCTCTAGCTGCTCTGAGTTTATCAGGAGCAAGTCGTCTGGCCTTGGCGGTCTTCGGCGGACCTTTATTCACGATATGATGCATGACTTGATGAGTAGGTTCGCAAGGCGCCTGAGCCACTTTGACAACCTCGGAGAACTCCTTCAAAAGTTTAGCATATCTTTTAGAGTCGGGCAATGCCGGATGAAGTCCAATTGAATATATTGAAGCAGAAACTCCTCGAACTGATAGTGCCGTATTTCAGTCCATAAGCTTGCGTTGTGCCATATCAACTAGTAAACCGAAATGGGAAAGGAAGTCAGCACCAATTATTGGGCGTTGAACATCAGCCACGATGAAAATAAAGGCAAATTGTCGTCGTAGGCCTAGATCTAAAGTGAGTAACTTTTGGCCATACGTTGCAATAGGCGATTTGTTCGCAGCTTGAAGCTGAAGACCAGAGGTTTTGAGGTGGCGTTTGTCAGGTCTTGGAGGTATTACGCTAACCTCGGCACCGGTGTCAAAAAAAAATTTAAACCGCTCTGTGAATCGGGGACGTAAAACAGGCGACTAGATTGAGTGCCTGAACCAGTCGTCGCCATCACTGGCCGGCCGTCTCGTTGTCCGAAGCTAAACTGGGCTGCCTGAAGGCCTGGGAATGACCACATGGGTATTTACAGGCTTGTGCCTTGTCACCATACCGCCGATGATACCAAAATAGGCCAGATCGATCTTCAGATTGGCTGGATCGACGGAAACGTGATGAAGAATACACGGTATTTGTCTTCGCGACAAATAGCTCACGAATTTGTCTACGACACAGACCACCCTGAAAAGCCTTATGTCCCATCGTGAAGCTCGAGGCCCACTTGTCGACGATGCTCAGACAAGTAATTCTACGTGTTCGGTTGGCTAGTCGCACAGAATGAATCCGATATTTCCAGTCCACACTGAATTCTCCGTGGACCTCACATTGGTCTAGTGTGATTTAGAAGGTGAATGGAGATGGAGAGACTTACTGACCCTTGGAGGCTTCATTATGAGATCTCTGGACTGCACTAAATCCCCAAACCTAACCTGTACTCGTTCAATCATCCACGGGAAAATCCCAGTTCCTCCAGCACGATTTCCTCCATCCACCACACAGCGAGTCAGTATTAGTGGGAATTCCATCGCGTCATTCACTGTGTACACGCTTGTTAGGAACCCAATGTAGATTGCGACTCGGCGTAAAGTAGTGTTCAGCACAACTGCAATTACCTTTAGTGGCATTTTGAATTTATTCACTTGCATCCCGCATAGACAATTCTGAAGTGAGCCTGAAATAGGCTTGTCACATCTGAGTGAGTGCATTAATGCACTCCAGACCGAATGGTCGCATGTGAGCCACTAAAGTCTGCGTATTGTACTTAGAGGTGGCCCCGTCAACAAGTGGTACATTCAATTTGGTACGGCTTCCGACACACAGATGCAGGACTCCGACGCAGGTTATCCAACCCCCTTTCCTAGCACGTGATAGGCTTCCCACACTGGCACTCACACCAAGCCCAAATGAATCAGCGCCTCCTCACGCTAAGGCCAGACAATACCTCGTGCAGAAGGCCCTTGCTGTCCCACCCACTGGCCGAGTGCACGTTCGCATGCGCCCCTTTATCTATGGTGTGCGCGGCCTTGAAGGCACGTAGAAGCAAAAGTACATTGAAAGTGAAAAGGCCAATGGGTCAGGTGAAGTCCGGTAAGAATACAAAGGCTGGCGTGCATAGGCATGAATGATAATGAAAATTAGAGAATTGTAAAAATGTCGAGACACGTAGTCTTGGGAATGCTGAATCCCCAACACTGGTATGTTGAACGACGTTCGTAGAAGTGCAATTTGTGTTTATGGTGTAGCGAATCCCGCTGACTCACGTCCATTAACATTGTTGTGAATTGCGTTTATTTTACCCCTTAATCCGGTCGCTCCACCTCCTACAGAGGGTTCCCCTTGTTGCAGCATGTCGCCAGCCGCGCGAATCCTCAACTCCCCCTTCATTAGCACGAATATTTATCTTGGAGTATCCCCACACATAGGTCTCGAAGTTAGCGCATGTATGACTCACACATCCGAGGTATAAATACACACGCGCAAACTCCACACACGACACAACGACACAAGTTTTGGTTGAGCTCTGAAGTAAACGGTTGTGTCCCGTCCTCTCCGATTTTTTTCTTCATCGCGGGTATCAGGGCATAGTAATCGGTCCAGGGTTGATTCCGTGGCCCCTGCGTGGTTCAAGGCCACATTTGGGGCACACATCAACCTGTTCGTTGCGTTCTTCACTACACTGACCCCCTTTTCGCGGCGTCGACATGGGCCATGCGAAACCGTCTAGTCTTACACCCCTGTTTGTGTACCTCCCTCACCTTATCCGCTGCATTCATCCGACCCTTTGGTCCTGAAGTTACCTTAGATGCACACATATTTCCACGTAGTGTTGATCTCTGGTTGTGCTGTCCACTATACGTACAATTGGAATCACCGCGAGACTACGTATTAGCTTTGGATACTAACATTCTCCCCTTCATTTCAACCCACGACACGAACTTTGGAGAAGTGGAAGTTAATGTGGCTCGGTGTTGGCTCAAACGATCCAGATATTGGGCTCATGTTTGGATCATTATCTAACGCCATAGTTGCCTCGCATAATTAATTCTGGCCATTGGAATTTACTGATGGCGATTCCAAAATGACGTAGGGAACAGCTTCAAAATGTGTGGTTAACTGGCGGATTATTTGAACTGAAGGAAATGTCAAATTTCTGACGAGCGTGACAACTTCGGAATACCAGTGGTGGTGTTTAGGATCACAGACTTGTGCGGTTATTTTAGCACCAACATCAAGGCAGGCTGCTGTCAATTATGACCTTTTGTGCAGTGCAAATGAAGCGGCGAAGGAAGTTGAAGGATGACACTTACTACGCCCTTTCGTCTCTCAAAACATTTGACGCCACACACCCCTTTCCGAGTTGACCAATGAAATGGCTTCTTGAAGCCTTTTTTCATCCAGCTAGAAATTCGCTCACTCCTGCAAAAGGCCATGTCGCATAACGACTTTTCCGAAAGCTTCTGGGTCTGCTTACCTGAAACAAACGCTTCTAGATCAATTGATGTGGGAATGATAGTAACTGAAGTGGTTGGAATTATTCCAGGCATCATCGTGTGTGTGCTGCTATATCAACTAGATGGACGAACTCGGACCAGCTTACTGATGCTTCGCACTCTCACAACATGCGGCGTTCTACAACTCCTGACCCACTTCGTCAAAGACGTCTCGCCTTCTACTGTGGATACGGGTATATATGGACTCAATATGTTCATTTGCATCTTTTGGGCCAGTCGATTTTTATATTGGATATTCACCATCATTGGTGCACACGCGCTAGTATACTTCAGTGCGAATCGGGCCATGCAGATAGCAGCTAATTTACAGTTCTCATTTGCTTCTAGTCGCAACATTGATCTCGTTTACATATTTGGCTTCACATTCTACAGTGTGGTGATTACAATACCGCAGGTGTTCTCTCTTGTCTATGATAGAGACACATGCTATTGTAGTGAGTCCTTGATGCGAATGTCATTTCTTCAGCTAGTCTACGCAGAGGTCTACGTCTACTTTACTCAGGTTCTGTTGGTGAATGGGCTGCTTCTTCTCATTTCTTGTTACTTCGTAATCAAATGGATAAGGACTATGTCCGAAGAAGCATTCCTGGACACACTTAATAGCCTGAGTTTTCCGAACACCCCGGAGGAAGAGCTGAAGGCATATGAGGAGATCAAAGG